ATGCTTATAGTATAATTGTCTTCATGAGCTTGGTGTTTTAGGCCTTAGACACTATCTTATTTGAGTTGATAGCATTTATTTATGCTTTTCTCACTCATTTTCAGTACTAATAATCTCTGCAATCTCCCTTCTTTCTTAGCTTTTTGTTTTGCTTTGAAAATGGTTCAAACTACTTGTTTGTTTAAAACATGAGATTGAGGTGTCATGCTTAATGGTTTAATCCCTTTGGGGTTATGATGTCTCTTTCATGCCTAGAACAACTTTTGGTTTGATCTCTCTTTCCATTTAGAGGACTTAAACTCACCCTTTGGACTCAATTGGTTAAATGATGGTTGGTAACTCAAATGGAGTAATTAAAATTGGGACTAAAATGGTGAAAGATAATAACTTGGTTGTATTCAATCAGACATTAATTGAACACATAGAACTTGGACCATTTCATACTTGCTAGTGATGAAATGATTCAAGTCTTCAAGGTCATCACTTCCCTTGATCTTTCACGATAGGGAGGTGGTTTTTGAGAGTCTCATTTTGTTGCATTTATTGAACTTGCACACTTTCGTTCACAAGCCATCATGCAATGAAATTGCTTGAGTTAGTGGTTTGTGGCTTAAGTTCACTACTCCTTTGATTTGTTCATGAAAAAAAGGGGTGAGTTGTGCAAACAAACCCTTGAAATACCCTGTATATGCTCTGTTTGTCCTCTGTTGCAGTAAGGAGAACTAGGCAGTAGTGGCCAGTAGGTGGCCGGCAGACCACTTTTGATGGCCGGCTGGCTATCATTGGTGGCCGGCAACCTTCATCATTGGCCGGCCGGCCATTGATGCAATTTCAACAGCATGTTTGTGAGGCAGAGCAGCATTATTCTGGAAATAAGCAACAATGTTAGTGTTCTATTGTGCAACAGAGGCTCTCCAGAAGCAAAACAATGGCTTTTCAAGTGGAAACCGAGTATATGCATGAGCCTTCCTCGTGCGTCGGGCATGTTTAAGTTTAAATTATTGTAATTAATTAGTTGTAGCTGGTTAATTTGTAAAGTGTTGTAACTAATTAGTTAGTTAATTAGTCATTCAATTTTGTTTTGTGATTAGTTAGTTGATTAATTTGTTGTAATAATTAGTTAGGTAGTTTTGTTAATTTCATTTGTTTTGTAATAATTAGCTTAATTAGCTTAGCTTTAAGTAGTTGGTTAATTAGCTTAGTTTATTTATTCGGACTCTCCTTTGTGAGAGCGCAATGTTGTAATAACGTGTATGTTTTCCAACCCTATGTCTTTCTCCCTTTTATTTACTGGCCTATGATGGTTAGTTTAGGGACATCATGTTTTGTTTAGCATACTTCATGCTTATATCCATTTGTATTGCATGCACCGAGGCTCGGTTCATCATTCTAACTGTATTGTTCATTTAATACTTTTTTGAATACGTGCTTAGACTGCATGTTATCAAAATTGTTCCATATGCCATATTAGTAGCAGAGCCTATTGGTTGCATTTTTGCATGTGTTGCATTAGTCATATTGCATAAGTTAGGAATCATGTATTTTTCTAACTCTTTTGTTTATTTTTGGCTTGGAGTACTAGGTAAGCCTTCACTCGCTTTAGCATATTGCATGTATGTGATTGTTGCCATGTCTAGTATGCTTGCCATGAGGCTAAGTGCTTAAATGATAAACTGCTTAAATGTGTGTGGGTGAAGGCTTATTGCTTGAATTGGAATAATTTGAGTAATGTTTTTATGCAATCACTTTTTCAAGTGGTACATATTTCGAAATAATTTTCAAAACAAACATGACTCGAAGTGTTCCAAATTTTGCAAGTTAGTCTATACTTGTGTGTGCACATCATATAGTAATGCTAGCCTAAATAAACCGGAACAAGAGCATATAATGTACATAAGATTCATATCATGATTAGTAGAGGCCGATTTTTGATCGGACGAGCAGGGGTGTTCAATTCATGACCTTCCCCTCTTGTACCTAAGTTCCCAAGCTGAGACAATCTTGGTGATGACGGACACGTGGCCTTTGGCACGAATCATGAGTTTCCTAAATTTTTCAAAAATATTTAGGTAGCTACGCTGTAACTGGCATAGCAGTCTATTTTTGGCATTTTTGATTCAAAATCAATTTTTCAAAAGATTTGCCAGATTTGGACTCTTTGGTGTTTATCAATTTCATATTGCACTTGTGAGATTAGATTCAAAACTACGGGGGTTCGAACTGTAGGGCTTATTTTGAACTTTCAAAAGGGAGGCGTGAAAAAGTCGAGCTACAATGTACCACATATAATTGCTTATGATTTCTGATAAGTATATGGACTTGAATTTGTTTCCGATATGAAATCTGATTTATGAGATTATTTGGACATTATTCATAAATCCGTTACTCTATTGTTATTCACTGTGCTCCAGCTCACCTTATTATTATGTATGTATATAGGTGACCAGGCTTAGAGTTGATGGTCTGGAGTTCCTTTTTGTCAAACAGCCACAGTGCCTCCCAAGGAGGTTCCCTTTTTGCAGTGGTCAAGCTTTTGTAAATCATGTTAAAGATCCTTTTGTATTTCTTTTGTTAAGTTTGAACAAGTCTTTTAGATATTTGATCATTTATTTAATAGAAAATTTACGACCTATAACATTTTTCTTGTTTTTTAGAATTTAACATTGATTTATGAAATAAGTTTCAACTTTGCAAAACCTACCAAGGATTAAAAAATTAAAATGGGACTTACGTGTTGGTTTAATAGGTGAATTTATTATCTAATAAGTTCTATAATAATTAATGATATTTTTAATAAAATATTTTTAAAAAGTCACTGATTGTTAATTTTTAGCGACAGTTTAAAAATTTTATCACAAAAAATGTAACTAATTATAAGTTTTAGCAATAATTTTAAAAAACTATCTCAAAAAAAGTAGCTAATTTTTAACTTTCAATGACAATTTAAAAAATTTGTCATTGAAAAAAACATTAATTGTAAGTTTTAACGACAATTTATAAAAATAGTGACAAAAAAGTCCCTAATCATTAATTTTTAGCGACATATGTAAAAATTCGTCACAAAAAATTATATATAACGATGATTTTACTAAGATTTATTTTTAATAGGACTTGATGGGAATTAAGTCCAATTATTATGACAAATCAATAATTTGCCCAAATTAAATTAAAATCTTTATATTTGTACGGAAAGTAATTATAAAACCGAACACAATCATTTTTATGCAAGTGTAGAAAGGTGTATCTAATTCTATAATCGTTTGTAAGTTCTTAGACTTTTTCGTATATTATTCATTAAGAAATATTATATAAATTAATAAATTTTAAAAATACCTTCTTGACGTGATGTGCAATATTTAGAATTTGAAATAAGACTTGTTACAATAATATGATGCGTCACATTAGTTAATAAAAAAATTATAAGATTTATTAGTTTATATACTATTTATAAAACTTGATAATGTGTTCTCTTAGAGCTTATGTTAATAATAATACTAACAAATATTGTTTATTTTTTTATTACGCTTATATATAATTTTTTTAAATTTTTTGATATGTGTTCTAAAAATATACATTAACAAATCCTTACTACCATATGCACCACGTCATGTTCTCGATTCTCACCCAATTAAGGCTGGTGGATGACAGAATGGATTGATCTAGTGTTCTATCTAGTTGATCAAAATGAATCAAGTGAAGTTTTCGGTTCCATGACAATTTTTTTTGTATGAATCTAAAAACATTATATTAATTTATTAAATTAGTATTCCGACACTATAAAATAATTGTTCCCGACCAAAAGTCACAACACAAGAAACCACACTAATCAATACACTGAGGAACCTTATTCACATTTCACTTTTGGCTACATGCATTTCACATTTTATTTTTATTTTTTTATATCTTACCGCATTCGAATTGTTTAAAATGATCTAAATAAGTGTACTTTTTAACTTTTTATGAAATATAGGTTGAGTGTGAATTGAGTTTAAAGTGATGTGATAGAGAGGTGATGTGACTTAAATAAGATGACATGATTTAAATAAAATATTAACTTTTTTATTTTTTAATTTTTTTAAGTTATGACGAACAGTGACTAAAGTGTGACTAGTAAATATGAATTGTGAACATCAAAGAAAAAAAATATACAGTATATAATTTTTTTTATGATTGTTATATTCACAAAGGAAATCAAAGCAACATGTACTAATTTCAGTAGTATGCTTGATTTGCTGGGTAGGTGGGCTGAATAATTGCTTATGCCCTCATTTCTCAATTATACATTTTAACTAAAAAATTATTATAAATTATCGTATCACTTTTTTTTTTTCTTTTTTTTACATTTTATTATAAAAAAATTAAAAAATTATTAAAATAATATATTTTCAAACGAAGCCGTTGAGATTTTTTAAAAACTAGTACCAATAATAATAATAATATTATTATTATAATAAAATAAAATAAAAAGAGAGAGAGAGAGCGCAAATCAAAGAGATGTATATACTGGCCTCATTGAAAAGTTGGTTATTTTAATAATCTAAAATATTTTTGTATTTGGAAAACAAGTTTGATTTTTTTATAGTTAAATGTAATGCTTGTGAGAGAAAAAGTAAAATGATTATAAATTTAGGCCAAGTTTGGCATCCTTCAAAAAATCTAAAAAGTCAAAAAGTCACTATCCTATTTAAGTCACATCATCTTATTTAAGTCACATCACCTCTCTGACACATCACTTCAAACCCAACCAAAATCCAACCCATATTTTATAAAAAGTTAAAAAATACACTTATTTAGTCTTCTCAAACTTGACCTTAGCATCGTTAAAGAAAAAAAAAAACGCTGAATGTAATTTATCTATCAATAATGAAATAATGAAATGTAGATTCTAATCACCCAAATTAGAAAAAGTAAAAGCGGAAAAAGAAAAAGAAAAAAGGACTGAGTTAGATTAAAAAGGAACAGAAAAAGGGCAGGTCATATCACATGAGAATCTGTACTAAAACTACTGTACCTTATCCTCTCCCTCCCAAATACAACCCCCAAATTTTTTTCCATCAAAACAAACACTCTCTTCACACACACAAACACAAACACAAACGCAAACACAACCAAAACTATTTTCCCAGAAAATCACAACATTCCAAAATGGAGAACAACCAACAACAACAACCACCACCGCCGGCGGCGGCGGCAGTACAGTCGTCGCCGTACCCTCCTCAGGCGCCGTACCACCACCTCCTCCAGCAGCAGCAGCAACAACTCCAGATGTTCTGGACATACCAGCGTCAAGAGATCGAGCAAGTGAACGACTTCAAGAACCACCAGTTACCCTTGGCTCGCATCAAGAAGATCATGAAGGCCGACGAGGATGTTCGCATGATCTCCGCCGAGGCTCCAATCCTCTTCGCCAAGGCCTGCGAGCTCTTCATCCTCGAACTCACCATCCGATCCTGGCTCCACGCCGAGGAGAACAAGCGCCGTACCCTCCAGAAGAACGACATCGCCGCCGCCATCACTCGCACTGACATTTTCGATTTCTTGGTCGACATTGTCCCCAGGGACGAGATCAAGGACGAGGCCACCGGAATTGGAATGGTTGGGCCAACCGCCAGTGGAGTCCCTTACTACTACCCTCCAATGGGGCAGCCGGCGCCGCCGGGGGTCATGATCGGACGCCCGGCGGTGCCCGGTGTTGATCCGGGGATGTATGTGCAGCCGCCGCCGTCGCAGGCGTGGCAGTCGGTGTGGCAGACGGCGACGGACGATGGGTCGTATGCCAGCGGAGGGAGCAGTGGGCAGGGGAATCTTGATGGCCAAGGGTATGTTTCTTCAATTCTTTTTTGCATATCTAGGGTTTGTGATTTTGTGGTTTGAACTTTTGATTTGATTTGGTCATTCATTCAAAGATCACATTTTTTTTCCGCTCTCATTTGGTTATACTTTACCTCTAATGCTTGATGAGTATGGTTAAGCTGTTGGATTTTGATAAGAAAAGAAATGATTAGAGAGAAGAAAATCAAATGATTGTGTTTTCTCACATTCTTGTTTGGATTTACTATGATTAAATGAGTAATTTTGGTTTCTCACCGAATCTCACCATTTTGGTGAGAAACAGTACTTAAGTTTGGTTTGATTTGATTTGTGTTTCTCACCATCTCTCTTCATTTTTTACCATTAGGCACCTCATTACCAAGTGATGAGAAACTTCATTCTCCCCATTTCTTTTCTTTTCTCACCAAACCCCTCAGTCCAAACGGAGTGTAAGTGTTGATTATGCAGAGATTTGTATGCTCTTACTGTGGTTTTTATTTTAAAAAACCTATTTTTCTTCGTGTTTTGGTGATTTTGGTATGCAATTTCCTTCAGATTATTTGCAAAATTGTCATGTGAACTTTATGCTGTCTTTCTCATGTTGCTTGTTGGTGGGTTCTGTTAAAGCTCTTGGTCTGGGGGAAAAAGAATTGTAGTGTACAACTACAGGCTCACTTTGTTAGAATGTGTACCAGTTTTACCAAAAGGATTTATTGGAATTGCTGATCCTTTTGCATTAATAGTGTTGATTGTTTCACAATCTGGTCACTGTGGCTTATAATAGTTCTTGTAACAATAGTTGAAAAATGTCATTCCAGGTCCCTTTGGGGACAACTGAAATTAAAACTATAGACGAGGCGAGTATTTATTTATTTATTTTTGGTTTCCATGCATTACTCTGGTGTAAAAGAGCATTTCCTACAGAAGAAGCTTGTTCATACTGCGAACTAGGAATATTCTTGTTTGTTGCATAAGATTCTGTACCAGACCATAAAATTGGCATGCAAAAAGGGCCTAGGATCATTTCTTTAAGTGGTTGTTACTCTACAAGTAGCAGCGCATGGAGACAACAGATCAAATTACTGGATGGTAGTTGCATCCTTAAGGGATTTATGGTTAGAAATGGGGGCTTTCCAAGCAATAATCCCACATACAAGAAATTGTTCCCATTCTATCAGTTTCAACTTTCAAGTAATTTTATTCACCCTTCATTTCTTTGGTTTACTTTCATGCTTATGATTTATCCCGTAAGAGGGGGCTTCTATTTCACACACCAATTCCCTAAAGTGCTCACACTTTAGTAATTTTTCTTAAATCACAATTTTATCCTTTAATCAAATTATCTTTACATACAAACCTGCCCCTTTCTTCAATGTCTTAGTACACATCTCACCAGCCACCCTACCACCATTCCACCAGCCACTCCACCGCTGGCCATTGCCTTCCAAGCCCAGACTCCACCACACCTAGCCCCCTCCCCTCCCTCCCACCTTCTCTTCCCTAATATATCAAGCATGAGTGAAAGTAGCAACTAGAGTGGTAGTAGCGTGTGTCATAAGCTAAACTAATTACAGCTAGGTAGTGCGGACTAAATTGTGTCTCCATTCCCTACTTCTAAGATAAGATCTATAAATTTTTATGTAGTAAAATATGTATGCGGTAGACTCTCCTCTTCTGCAGATAGTACATTTCCTTGAACTATCCAAAGGTGCCATCTCGCCCAATCCCCTTTCTCATCCCTCCCATATTACCTCACATCCTGTTTTTGCACCTCTCCCCCAACTCTCCCCACTGGATCCTACTTCCTCATCCTCTAGTGTTGTTAGAGTTGCAGTCTTTGCTCTCGGTTATGCTCGATTCGGTTCCATCCTATTCCTTTGATACTACGTCTTATCACTCAAAATCAAATTCTATCACATTGGACATACTAATGGTACTTCGTGTTGAATTAAAGGCTGGATTAGTTTTTTTGTACTCACTTGCCACCCTTGTTTAAGAGTGATTAAATATCAATAAGGGGACCTCCTAATAAGGAAGTTGCTCTTTGGAAAAGCCTTTTCGCTACTAAGCATTTTTCGTATTTTTTGGGCAATAATTCATCTCAATTTAAGAATTCACCCAATTGGGACATCCATTTAGAATCTGAAATCATTGCCAATGAGGAAAAAAAAGGTGTTAGAAAGGGGCTTCATAAGAACTCTCAAAAGAAGTATGCAACGAGTGAGCATGTTAAGTTTTGATTGAGTCTTTCGAAAAAGGGTAAATTGATATAATAATTCCTTTGTAATCACTGTAAGATTTCTAAATGAATCTGTATATTCAATTGTATAGAATTTTTAAAGGGTTCATCAGTTTATATAACCTTAAACCTATGACTGAAAAGGGAAATACAATTAATTGGAATATTTACATCCAATCTTTCCTAATTCCTAATATACGATATATACGTAATACATTCTCATACCTTTGCTCAAACTCAAGGTGTTTTAGTAGAAAATACTTAGAGTTTGCCTAGAAGAAGTTGAAATTAAGCAGTTTTGTGAGTCTTGGTAAAATAAATCAAGCAGTTGCATAGTCGAAGTGACAAAAGGGAGTGAGATAGAGTCAGATTGCAGACACTGACGAATGAAGTGACAATTAATCTCAATGTGTTTCGTCCGTTCATGAAAGACAGTGTTATGGACAATCTGAATAGCATTGCGATTGTCACATTAGAAAGAGGTCAGAGAAGACTGAGGGACGCCCGAGTCAAATAAGAGACAACGAAGGCAGATAATTTTAGTAGTAGCATGAGCCATAGCATGGTACTCAGCTTCGGCAGTAGAATGGATAACAACAATTTGTTTTTTGCTTTTCCATAAAATCAGGGAATCGCCAAGAAACTAGAAGTAGACTTGCAATCATTAATATCATCAGCCCAATCAGCATTAGCATCAGCATCAGCCACCAAGTCCAAGGAAGAAGTAGAAGATAACAACAAACCCTAAAAGATATTATTGCGAAGATAACGAATAATTCGAAGTAAAGCAGCTCAATGTATGGAGCGAGGAGCAGAAACGAATTGGCTAACCACAAGAACAACATAGGCAAGATCATGTTGAGTAACCGTCAGATAGACTAAGCAACCCACAAGCTCTCGATATAAAGTAGGATTATTTAGAGGAACACCATCAGTAGTGTTGAGCCTTACATTAAGCTCAATGGAGGTATTAGAAATCTTTGTGTTAGTACAACCGGCATGGTGAATAACCGCAATAGGCATAGATTCTTCATTTCAAAGGTGTGGAAGAGATGCTGCTTAACCGAAGAGATAACAGAGGAGTCAGAGCCAGTGATGGTCATATCATCCACATACAGTAATAGGGCAACAAAACCAGCAGTTGTGTAGAGGAGAAACAAAGTAGAGTCCTAAGCATAAGGATGAAACCCAAGCACAGTAACAACTATCTGAAAGCGATCATACCAAGCACTAGGAGATTGCTTCAAACCATACAAAGCATGCCAAATACAACAAACCGGTCCAGAAGAATAGTAAAGGCCAAGGGGAGGACGCATATAAACCTCCTTAGTGAGATGACTTTTAAAAAAAGTATTCTTAACATCTATCTAATAAAGAGTCCGATGACGAACAACAACAACAAAGATCAAAGTACAGACAGTAAACATCTTGGTAACAGGGGCAAATGTCTCATAATCAATACCATACTCCTATTAGAAATATTTGGCAACCAGGCGAGTTTTGTAGCGCTCAAGAGAACCAGCGAAATGAGTCTTGAATTTATAGACCCATTTATAACTAACTAGATTCTTGCCAATAGGCAAAGGAACCAACTCTCAAGTAGTAGTCTTCTACAATGCAGACAACTCATCATTCACAGCTCGAATCCAATTAGGATCCTGACATGCCTCTTTGTAAGACTGGGGTTATGAAAAAGGGTGAATAGCAAACAAAAACATACAATATGAAGAAGAAAAACATGTTTTAACAAAACTAAGTTTGACTACTTGTTTATGGATGAGAAGGGGATACTTACGGTTGACAAGATCAGAGTCGTCAAAGGCAGGAGGATTAGCAGTAAGGCAGTGACAACTGGTGGAGGGAGAGCCTTGCGACGAGAATAGACTAACAACAGAGGAGGAGGAGGAGGAGGAGGAGGAGGAATAGACTCATGGGGGACAATAGAGAGGGACTTGGCAGAAGGAGCGGTAGGAGGAGAAGAGGGAACAAGCTCATGGGAAACAGTAGAGATGTATTCATCAGGAGGGACTTCAGAAGGAAATGGATCAATGTGAACCAAATCTTCTTTGGAAATTGGAGCCCTGATAGGAGGAAGCTGAAAAGAAGACAAGCGTTCGAGAAAGGCAACATGGCAGGAGACATAAAGGCGACGAGGAATAAGGTCATATCAGCGATAGCCTTCTGGATAAGATTGCAGCCTAAAAAGACACAGAATAGACTAGGCACTAGGTTTGGTCCTATCTTTTTGGGAAAGAAAGACAAAACAAGTAGACCCAAAAACACACAGGAGGGAGTAATTGGGAATTTAGGAAAATAGAGTCTCATAAGGAGAACGACTAGAGAGTAGGGGAGTAGGCATACGGTTTAGAAGAAAACCAGCAGTAAGAATTGCTTCACCCCAAAAAAGGAGCCAGAATAGATGCAAAGATAAGGAAAGACCTAACTGTCTCAAAGAGATGACGGTGTTTACGCTTAACGCGACCATTTTGGGCCGGTGTATCAATATAGGAAGATTGGTGAATGGTACCCTAATTGGCCAAATACTCACTGAACTTGGTTTTAAAATATTTCCCACTTAAACCAGACCGTAACAGGTTAATTGTTGACCCAAATTGTGTAGTGATTATAGACTAAAAGGTACGATAAAATGCCACGTGCCATTAAATGCAAGCTTACATCTTCATTCTCACACATTCAATGATTGCATTTTTTATCAACATAATTTCAATAAAAAATGCATTGCAAGTGACATATAAAGAACCTGAAAAA